AGCATCCTGATTGCTGAGAATTGCCTTCTGACACCTGATAACAATTAGCATTGTGGTTTTCCTCCAAGTGAGCAATCTAGGAAGATTATGGGAAATTGTATGTATAGAAGCTTAAGTAAAAACCCTATAAAACCTGTAGCTGTTTAATAGAAGAAAGCCATTCCCTGATCAGAAAAGACCCACTCTCTTATCTTTGGGTAATGAAGTGGAGAGAACCAAGGCTGAAGCCACTGTCCCTTTGGTTCCTGGAAGAAATGAAGATTTGTGAGTCAGGATGATTTTGACTTTGGAATTTGTAAGGTATATATTTACTTTGTAATTAAATATTTTGGTGTAACTTTCATTTCTGCACATAATCCTTAATTGTTAGGACTCAATTCTTGATATTTTCTGTATAATCAGAGTCCCTACTCCTTTTTCCTTTTTCTCTTATCTCTTGATTAAGCCAAGGGGCTGGAAGTAAGAAACAGATTAGCTACTAAGAGCAAAGAAAGAATGGACTTGGAACTTTTGAAATGATTTCTAACATACTGTAATGATGTGCTTTCTGCCTGGTGGTTATTCACCTTGGTTTGTTATGTTAAAACTGTAAATAGAACAGATCGTGGCTTCCCCTTTAACTGGCTTGGGTTTTTCCTGTCTTTGTGTCTGACCACTTCAGCTGCAGAAAGGTACAGGGCCATTTCAGGAGTTGGTCTCTCCCTAATTAAGTGGACCCTGATTGTCATTTTTTCCACTTACTTCCCGGGATATTTTGATGGTCAGTATCAGCTTTGATGGGTGTTCATGGTTTTAGACTTTCTCCTGTTTCTCAGAGGATTTATCAGTTATGATACCAGAAACTTTCTCTTACTTACCTCACTTATCTTTGTGTGCTCCATTAAATTCTTTGTTCATTACCACCAAGAGCCTGGATCCTGTCTCCATCTGAAGCATGTAAGACACAGTCCACCATCTTGAACACTGCAGACCCACCTGGTACAAGCCCCCCCACTCTTAGCTACTAGGGACCCACCTTAGACATAACCCCTTGCTCTGAGCTGTTGGGTTCCCGCCTAAGACAGAAGTCCCTTATTTTGAACTACTGGGGACGCACCTAAAACATAAACCTTCCGCATTCTAAGATTCTAAGGACCCCCTAAGAGAGTCCCTCTGTGTCTTACAGTCTTCCCCTCAGTAAGTCCAGGCCCCCCTTTTTTAAAGATTTTTGGGATGATAGAGGAGAAAACACTGTGGGACTCTGGGCTTAGGGCCACATAGTCATTGGCCACTCCTTTCCTCTGGGAAGTAGGGGCCTCGGAAATGACCCAATTATATTTTTCCTAGAAATGGACTGCTCAGTTATCATCAGTTTTCTGATTCCCCTTTGGGGGCATGTTATTTGGGGGGTGTCATTTGCTCTCTGAACTTTGGTAAGGCCCTGGGAAGCATAGCTCTGTGTCCAGGATGATTGCACAGAAAGTGTGTGCATATTTACAAACGCAAAGCTGAAGCCCTGAAGATTGGGCTCCCAGGCAAAGCCTGGCTCTGACAGTAAAGGTTATGGTATTGTCCCTCTTAGAGATACTGCCAGCCTGGATCAAGGTGGGGAGATAGCATCAAGGCAGGAACATTATGGAGGATGCAGGTTGATCCCTGCAAATGGTGTTTTGGGATGGTGTCAAGGCCACAGTGAACATGAAATCTGACTCCAAATATTCTTTATTCTCACATCCCTGCATAAGGTTAAGTCAAAGGTGGCTTTCTTTCTGCCTTTGCTCCCCTATCCTGGTTTGGGCCCACAGGGGGCCCTTCCATCTGGTTCCACGATGGCCTCTTGAGCACAGATGTGCTGGCTTGGTCTACCCACTGTGGCTGGGGGCTATCTTGGGTCATATGGGCAATCTGGACCAAACTTGGTTCAGGGAGTTGGAAAGTTGGCCAACAACCTGTGACACAGGAGGTTGAGGTGAGGTTCTTCTCTTTTTCAGGACCTCTGGGGCCTGGTGACTCACCCCAGCTGCCAGCTCCTCTCCTCTGCAAGACATTTCCCAGGCACAGCCTCATGTCTTTGCCCCTGATGGTCAGACAGGGCCAAGTCTAGCTAGAGGCCAGCACGGGGCAGGGATAGGGATGGTTAGGGAGGGATAGAGTGGGGTGTGGACATTGAGAGTGTGGGGAATGGCTAAGGGAAAAACATGGGTGTGCCACTCTCTCAAGGAGCCCTGAGATGCTCCCACCAGTGCTGCCACTGAGACACAGTAGTCAGGGGCATGAGCACACCTGGGCTTCAAGAGGAAGAAACCCAAAAGTCAGAAGGTGGCACAGGTGCTGAGAGACCATGCCTTCCCAGCTCAAGGGGCCTCCATCAGAACTTCGCACCTATAAGCAGGGCGCTGACACCAGGGTCAATCTGGTCAGAGATGAGGATGTGTGGCCAGGAAGACATGTGCAGAATGTGAGGTGGGGCTGTTCCCATGCCTACCTTGCTCCCTCCCATCTCCTGAACCATCCCTCACCCCCAACCTTCATATTTCCGCCTTGTAAATGGGAAAGCGGTCTTGGTGGGAGAGAGTGTAGAAAAGAAACAGCAGGTTTTTTCAGAACTACCTGGAGCCTCTCGGGATCACTTGGAACAACTTGGGATGATTTGGTGCCCCTCAAGGACTACCTGAAATCCCTTGGGATCATCTAGAGCCTCTCAAGGACCAACTGGAGCCTCTGGGGGCCACCTAGAATAGAACTCCCAGGGATCACCTGGGACCACCTGAAGCCCCTCAGGACTCACAGTTGGCAGCTGGCCCTCCCCAGAGGGATCATCCAGTAAAATCATGTCTGTAGACATGTTCCAAGCAGCTCTGGGGTAAAGCATGCCTTCCTTCCTCCCTCCCTGAATTCTCAGCATCAGGACTAGTTTCTCAAAGGAACTTGGATTTCCAGGCTTCATCAGACCCAAGGATTGGAGAGGCTCCTTGAACAGGGGTGAGGGTTTGAGCCCCAAGGCCTGGGTTCTAGGACTGCAGGTAAGTTGGGACTTGAGGGGACTCATCTTGCCACCTCACTTTGCATAGTGGTGACCTGCTAACCCCTGAGAGGGTTGTGAGTGGGCACAGCTGTAAGTTGAACCCAGCTGTGTCCAAATGCCCCTCTGCTAGTGTTCTGGGCCATGGCAGCCCCTCTGGGTCTCATTGTGCTGATCTCTGCAATGGGACCAGGTGTCTAAGGACGAACTGGCTCTGGGTCCCTGAGACTTGGGGACCTTAGGGGAGTCAAGAGAGCACTGGGCCTTTACAACCCCAGGCAGCCACCACTTCTCTCTGATCCTTAATTTCCCCATTTGTAATATGAGGATTCCAGACCCAAAGTGATTAGGGGCCACACAAGGCTGCTGGCAGATATTATCTGAGCATCTTCCACATGCCAGACACTGTTGTAGGTACTGCATCCTGCCCTCAGAACTATATGGGGAGATGTTAAACAAGAGGGAAAATACCCAAACACAAAGTAGAGAGACTGGGGTAAGGGCTATCTGTGGAGATGACACTGAGCAGTCTTGCAAAGACCTGCAGGAAGAGTGAAAGAACAGCATGTGCAAGGGCCCCAACATGGCAAGGAGCTAGTGTGTTCTGAAGGCCCACTGGCTGGAGCCCATGGGGAAAGAAGCAGGAGAAAATGGACTGGAAGTGTGGCGGGCCAGAGGCTACAGGGCTTCACCCAACCCTCCAGTCCACGAAATCCAAGGGATTGGCCTCCCAGTGCCTGCTGCGTGAACAAATAGATGAAGAGTGGACAAGTGATTCCTGCAGGGTCCCTAACTTACTGTGTCATCTCAGGCAATTGTATTTCCCTCTCTGTGCCTCAGTATCACTACTGCTAAGGTGCTCTCTGGGTCATAATTCTTTTTAGTGTGTGGCTGGGCCAGGTGCCTGGCTACAGTAGGTCTATGTGGAGGCTGGCTCCTTCCTTTTCCCAGGACTGAGGGGGCCATTACCAACACCTACTCTGGGACTAGTGGGGATATGTTTTACCCTGGTAGAGCAGTCAACAGCCCCTCTGGAACCCATGACAGAAGCCTGGGCTCCAACCACCATGTAGGAACTTCTGCCAAGAGCCACCACTCACCTACTACCTCATTTTCTCCTTTCTTTTATTTCTACTTTTGCCACTGTGTGGAAACTCTTCTGCTCAGGTGCACACCGTACTCCAACCACAGTCCCTGGATCTGTTACCAGGGTTACCTGTTCTACAGGCTGGGTAGGCAGCAGCCTCTGGGGGCACAAAAGGCCACTGCCTTAAGTCCCTGACTCCCACAAGTGCAGAATGAGTGAGAGCTGATAGGGTGGGCAGTGTGTTGAGCCCCAGGAAGGGAAGCCCACTCTTCACAGCACTTCCTGCCCAGTGGGAGTGGGACAAGGCAGATGTTTTCAACCAGAGATCCCTGGGGACAAATCCTAGGAAGGTCAGCCCCCAAAAGGGTGCAACACAGATCTCTATGTAAATGAATCCCTCCTCTGCCTCTCTGAGCGTCAGCTTCCACTTCTGGAAAAAGTGGAGACAGCCTGTGGCTAAAATGAACTCAGATCTTGGCTGTCCATGGGTCCAGGCCCTTGGGCTGAGTGTCCACTCTGGGGGCATGCCCTATCCCCACTTTCCAGCTGCCAAGTAGCTGCCCACCCCAAGATTTCAGATTTTGCAATATTTGCTAATATCTTTCAGGATATTTCATAGGAACATCTGGGTTTCTTTCATCTCTTGAAAAACTGGAAGCTCTAGCCACACAGGTCCTGACTGTGTGGAGACAGTTGGTGGGGAGTCCCCACATTGCCTTGGCTGCTGTTCTCTGGGTACCTGTTGCAGGGGTCTGCATCAACACCTGCTGAGGATATGGGACCCTGTCACCTCTCCACTCACTGCACCCACCCAAGCCTGGGTCACTGTGCCCTTCTGTCACCCTCATCCCCCATCCAACTACCAGAAGGCCCGCTTGGTGGGACCCTCCTTACACTGAGGTTGCGCTCACCTCATGGCTGCCAGCATTTATTTAAACAGATAAGCACTGCCCACTGCCCTCCAAGCCTTACTCTCAGGCATCCATGTGACACTGGGGGCCTCCCACTGAGTTTCCCAATGAGGTTGTCTCTCCTGGTTGGCCCAGGACCACTACTCGCCCTGTCCTGTGCATATGGGAAGGCAGTGTGGGGACAATGGGATGCTTGGTAGCCAGGAGTAGGCAGAAGAGGAGGTAGAGTCTGGGGACTGGTCACAGCTCAGCTCACATGCTGTTAATGATGTAGACAGGCAGACGGTGGCCTGGAGAGATGGCACGACTACAGATGTCCACCAGGTGTCCCTGGGCACCATTGATCCATAGATGATATTCTTCTTCCTTCAAAAGCCTCCCCACCCCACCAGACAGAGTTCACTTGACAGTTGCCCTGTATCCCTCTCTGAACCACATTGCTGGACCTGAGAGTGGAGGCTGGGCTCTTCTCTGAGACACGTTAGGTATCCCAGGACAGGTGACCACCCCTTTCTGTGCCTCAGTTTTCTTCTCTTGAAGCAGAGGCACCTTGCAGGGCCAAGTGTCCTGTGGCAGTTGGGGCACACTGTACCTCTGTATGTGGCCTCCACAGCCACCTCCCAGATGAGCACAGGCCCTGCTGTGATGGCTGTAGAGCTAGAGATCTGGCCAAGACTCAGCTCATAGGGCTGTTGGGGCCTGAGGCTTCAGGAGTCCTGAGCTAGCCCGGGGCAGAACCCCATGGTGATTGTGCTCAGAGCCTCCAACCACCACTGCTGCAGCTTGGTGGATGGGATACTTGAGCACAAGGACTGCTGGGCCTGCTGAAGCTGCCGAATGTGCCCAGCGCCTAACCTCTGTTCCAGGTTCGGTGCATTCACTGTGTAGCCAGAGAGGGAATGGTATATGGTGGCCCACCGTCCTGCAACAAAGGAGAGGAGAGTCAGCACCCCAGCCTCTGGAGTCCTGGCATCACCAAATAATGCCACCCACAAAAGAGCAGAGAAACAGTGATTTAAGGCGGCCAGGAAACTGAGGCCCCAAGGTTATGTGAGCCATCCATGAGAACTTGGTCCCAGGCAGCATAGTCTGGGCCCCTTCTAAGCATGTGGGCCTGAGGTCCTGGATTGTAGAAGCAGTCAGACTCTCAGCACAACACCAGTTCTAGGATATCCAATATGAGAACAGTGGTCCAAACCTTTATTCTAGGCCATGCCATCATCTGATACCCACAGAGGGCCACAGTGCAGGCTGGGCTGGGGTCCCACAGAGTCTGGCTTCTGGGGACATAGAGATTCGGTCAAATGCAGACTTTCTGTTGACATTACTCTCATGGAGGGTGCCAGGGCTGCCTCTAGAGACTGAAGTGGGAAGGAAAGATGAACTGGACTAGGACATGAGCAGCTAACCCTTCATAGGGTCACCTCAAGGATACTTGGATTAGGCTGTAGCCCCTGGGAAATGAAGCTACCACTTAGATCAAGACAGGTATATAATAAAACAAGAAAAAATAAAATAGCTAGGGTCAGAGCACAACTCACTGGGAAAGTTCTCTGACTCAGCTGTTCACACACACGAATTCACATACACACTGTGAACTCTGAGAAAGAAGACACCTACTAAGAAGAGATCCTGGTGGCTAACTGAGCTCAAATCAAAAATAATTTGGACTTCCGCCAAGATGGAGGTGTAAGTGGAAACACTTTGCTTCCTCTAACAACCAAATCTAAAAATAATCAAGTTTTAACAACAATAAACTCAACCAAACCACAGAAAATCGAACAATACGGAGTCCAAAAACAACGAACAGCTCAGCTAAACCGGTGAGAGGGGCGAAGCCAGCAGTGGAGTGGGTCAGGCAAAAAAGATCCCTGACCCGGGCAGCGCACAGGCAGCCAAGGGTGAGGATCCCAGGTGTGGGGTAGCTACAGGTGGACTGAGAGAAGGCGAGGCCTGGATGGCTGTCTGCAGTCATACATTTGCATGAAGATAAACCAATGAAGAGACGTGCATTGAGACAGACTGAGCAGGCCCCAGCTCAGGTTGGTGGGCTCGCACATTTGCGCTCAGATAAACAGGCGGGGGCGAGTGGTGAGGTGGACTGGGCGAGCAGAGAGGACTGCCATTTCTCCCTGTCTGACCCCGCCCCCACATACAGTGTCACAAACCAGCGCCCTGGGTGGCCCCACCCTGGTGAACACCTAGGGTGCCTCTCCTCATATGTAACAGGCACAAACAGATCAAAACATGGCTCAAGAACAACTCAGAGGCCCAGAGCCAATAAATCTAAGTGATAAAGAAATAGCCAAACTTTCAGATGCACAGTTCAAAACACTGGTGATCAGGATGCTCACAGAACTGGTTGATAACAGTCACAAATTAGAGGAACATATGAAGGCTAAACTAATTGAAATGAATGGAAATGCACAGGAAACCAATAGTGATGGAAAGGAAACTGGGACTCAAATCAAAGGAGTGGACCAGAAAGAGGGAAAAAAATGACCAAACAGAAATATATGAAGAAACAAGAATTCAAAAAAAAATGAAGAGAGGCTTAGGAACCTCCAGGACATCTTTAAACACTCCAACATCTGAACTATAGGGGTACCAGAAGGGGAAGAGGAACACCCACGAGTGGAAAACTTATTTGAATAAATAATAAAGGAGAACTTCCCCAATATGGCAAAGGAAATAGGCTTCCAGGAAATCCAGGAAGCTCAGAGAGTACCAAAGAAGTTGGACCCAAGAAGGAACACACCAAGGCACATCATCATTACATTAGCCAAGATTAAAATGAGGGAGAAAATTCTAGAAGCAGCAAGAGATAAGGGAACAGTCACCTACAAAGGAGTTCCTATCAGACTGTCAGCTGATTTCTCAAAAGAGACCTTACAGGCAAGAAGGGGCTGGAAAGAAGTATTCCAAGTAATGAAAACCAAAGACCTACAACCAAGATTGCTCTATCCAGCAAAGCTTTCATTTACAATGGAAGGACAGATAAAGTGCTTCTCAGAGAAGGTCAAATTCAAGGAGTTCATCATCACCAAGCTCTTATTATATGAAATGTTAAAGGGACTTACCTAAGAAAAAGAAGATAAAAAAGATGAACAGTGAAAGGACAGCAAACTCACAGTTATCAACAACCACACCTAAAACAAAAGCAAATTAAGAGGACAGCTAGATCAGGAGTGAACCATAGAAATGAAGATCATATGGAGGATTAGCAACAGGGGAGTGGGAGAAGGATAAGGAGGGAGAAGGTACAGAAAATAAGTAGCATAGACAGTAGATAGAAAATAGATAGGGGGGAGGGTAAGAATAGTAGGGGAAATATAGAATCTAAAGAACTTGAGACATGTGTTCATGAACTAAAGGGGGGGAATAGTGGGGGTGGGGTGTGCAGGGTGGAGGGGAATGAAGGGGGAAATAGAACAAATGTAATGGCATAATCAATAAAATAAAAAATATATTAAAAAATTATTTTTAAAGCCCTGACTGGCATAGCTCAGTGGATTGAGCTCGGGCCTGGGAACCAAGCAACCATGGTTCCATTCCCAGTCAGGGCAAATGTCTGGGTTGCAGGCTAGTTCCCAGCAGGGGACACATGGGAGGCAACTATACATTGATATTTCTCTCCCTCTCTCCTTCCCTTCCCCTCTAAAGATAAATAAAATATTTTAAAAATAATAATAATAATTTTTTAAAAAAGGATTAGTGGCCATTCCTATACAGGGGTCTCTGTCACAAAAGCCTGCACTGAAACTGCCTTCCTGCACTGCGTGGCCGTCTTCTGAGCAAGCCCTTACAAAGGAGTTCCTAGAATCCTATTCCAATCAATAGGACTGAGGCTTTCCCCACCCAGTCAGAGTTTCACTGTGCTGAACAAAACAAAGTAGCACCATCCTGACCAATCAGGACAGTGCCTTTGGGACCAATCAAACTGCAAAGATTTGGAGTCCTCATTTACATAGAGACAGACCAATCAGGGACCAGGAGCAGGGACTTCTTCCTCTATGTAAGCCAGCTGCCCTGTGGGTTGGAGAGTCTATGAATGCATTTTTCCTTTCCATCCAGGACTAAAACACCTGGTTGAGCTAAAACACTCAAGGTGTCTCACAGGATCAGAGTGGAGCAGACCAGCACAGGCCACAGTAGGCTGGTATAGAACAGAGCAGAGCTACCTAGTCAGGGGCCTGGAGTATAGCCATGTTGCATTCACAGCTGTGCTGTATCACAAGTGAGCTGTTCTATAGCCGTACTGGTTTCACAGCTGCACTTCTTTTTACAGCCCTGCTGTACCACAACTGAGCAGTTTGGCACTGAATAAAGTTTTCTTCTTCACTGCATCCATAATTGGGGATTCCTGTTAGCATTAAATTGACACCAGTGACCACTGGCTGACAACACACACACTCACACTCAAATACATGCATCCAGATACAAAGACATGCACACACACTCACTCGTATACACATCCACACATGCATACACACTCACACACACATAATCATATACAGTTACACATACACTCACATACCCACATGCATTCACATGCATGCACACACACTCACACTTAGACACATGAACATACATATGCACATGTGCATATGCCCACTCGCACTCACAAATACACATACACACTCACACACACTCATACACATGCTTACACATATACACACATTCACACTCACACATACATATGCACATCCACACATATTTGTGCACATACATACATGCTTATACTCACATATACACCAACACACACACACCATACACCACACACACTCCTCTCCCTCTCTGATATGTTTAGAGCAATGATGAACACAACTCCTGTGTCATTTGGAAGTACCCCAGACACAACTGGCAGAGCTGGTCCCTGCTGAGACTTGGGTCTTCCAAATTCTCAGTGTTTAAAGTACAGGGCCATAAGAGATGCTCCCCTGTTAATGTCATTCTTTATTTGGTTCTTGCAGCATCTGGGAAGGGAAGCCAAACTTATAAACCACTTCCCAGGAGACCCCAACATAAATCTGGCTTAGAACCATGGACTGTGTTATGCACAAAGAATGAAACAATGCATTTTTTTGAAAGCTACATTTTCTCTTTTTCATCTTTCCTGTCACTCCATAAAACAGGGACTGTGCCTTTGAAGGAGAACCACAAAGGCAGTGGCCATACTCAGAAGGGCAGGAAGTGAAGAGAAAGCTAGTACCCACCTTGCTCCTGGCCCTCAGTGGCTTCTGTGAGGCACAAGCAGCATCTCCCCTCCAGGCCTCCAATTGCAGGGACCGTGAGTGAAGATGACACTTGTTCCCATCTGCTATGGGCTGAATTGTGTGCCCCCAAATCCATGTGTTGCAGCCCTAACCCTCTATGTGAATATATTTGGAAATAAGGCCTTTTCCAAAGGGCTTTTAAGGAGGTAATTAAGTCAAAATGGGGTCACCAGTCTTTATGACTGGTGTCCTTATAAGGAGAGAAGATTAGGGCACAGATATACATGGTTCAACTGTGTGAAGGTTCAACCTTGAGAGGTTCAACTGTTGAGGACACAGGAAGAAGATAGCCATCTGCAAATGATGGAGAGGCCTCAGGAAAAACCAATGATGTCTACACCTTGACCTTAAACTTCCAGCCTCCAGGACTGTGAGACAATAAACTTCTGCTTGTAGGACTTGTTACACAGTTTGAGCTGACTAATAACCATATAACTCCTGAGTGCAAGTAGCTTTCAAGGCCTTGGCTGTGACCAGACCCTGAGAATCCCAACACACATAGGCATGATATTAGGAATTCCCTTGCTGGCTGCTCCAACAACCTGTGGGCCCCATGAAGCCAATTAATTCTGGTTCTAGGGAAGCCAGCAAAGCCTGCAAGGTTGCCAGTGTGGGAAACTCAGGTCTGGGAGGCTCCAGGATACCCACCTCCATGCTCTCCTTGGGTTCAGTGGGCCCCTCAGGGCTGGGGCTTGCAGTCACCACTGGCTGTGTCAGAAAACACTCTCGGCAAACTCGACTCTGCCTGCTATTCTCTGCCTTGAACTCGGAGCATTTCCCACAGATGACCTGCCAGATAGAGAGCACCTGTGACCCTACCTTCCAGGAACAAATGACTGTCCTGGAAGAGGCTAGAAGGGCCACAAGGCCAGGAGAGATGGAACACAGCAGGCAAACAGGAAGGGCTTCTCTGAAGCCCTTGGGGGCCTGGAACCTTGCTGGAGGGTAGAGACCCTGAGGCTGGAGGGCTCAGGGTCCAGGTATCTGTATGCACAGAAAGAAGACTGGGAGGAGGTACCATGAATGAGATGGCCCAGGACCAGCCTCCTCCTGCCCAGACTCACCACCCCACATGACTTGCAGTGGTGCCTCCTCTTCGTGATGGAGTTGAAGGTCTCACCACAGATCCTGCAGCTCTGTTTATCCTTGTCACGCCTGGTCTTAGAGGACCCTTTTCTGGGCTCAAGCTGTGGGGTCAAATGGTGGCAGTCAGCTTCTCAGCACATGGTGGGCAGCTGTGCGATACATGAACAGTACACACACAGGGCAAAAAAAGCCAGATGTAGAGCAGGGAGTAAAGCAAGAGTTCTGTGGGCCACTGTCTGCCTAGCATTTTCCCCAGAGGCTATCCTGCTGTCACACAGAGTAAGACTCTAAGTGTATCAGAACTATATGCTTGGGACAACTGGCCCTACATGGAGGCCAGTGACTTAACCTACTGTATCTGAAAAGATATCCACTGGAACACCTGCTGAGAGAGATAGTGCTTGTTCTGCCCAGGGGCCCAGAGTCAGGCACCCAGAGTATCTGGCTATGTGGCCCTCACTCCCATGCTCTGCTCTTCATGGGTCCCTGGAGCTTGAGACACACTCCTCACTGGGTACATGTGTGAGAGTGGTTTCCTGAGGCCAAGGAGCAAATTTCCAGCCTCCAGATCCGAGACGGGGTAAATGTCTGTGGTCTAGGTCACCTGGTCTGTGATATTTTGTTACAGAAGCTTGAGCTGACTAATACTGACATCTTGGTACAAATTCTGATCTGTATTTCCCAGGTGTGTGGGCTCCATTCACAAGCTCCCTATCCCCTCACCCCCACCCCATATGCCACACCACTGTGAGGCCTGAACCAGTCTGGAAGGAGGAACCCAGATGCAGGATGGCTACTCTGAGGGTGAGGGAGATGCTTGCTCTGCCCAAGGCCCCAGCTTCTCCTCTATGTCATGACTCCCTGCCCCCATGTAAGAGTCTTGAGGCTCCTCTCAATTTATCCCACAGAAGACCTGCCAAGGGGAGAATGGGCATCACAAAAACCATAAGCCATGTGTTCTCCCTGGGGTCACTTCTGGCCTTGGGCACCAGCCACACTGAAGCCCCTCAACCCACTCAAGCATCTTCCCTTGGAGACCATCTCTCAGGATTGCTGGGGGCCAGATGTGAATAGAGAGGAGAAGGGAGGGGTGTGAGGCCCAGAGAAGGAAAGAAGAGGAGAAAAAAAAGGCCATCCAAGGGACTGCTGTGGCTAGGCAGCCCCTGTCCTCCACTGGTGTCCAGGACAAATCCACTGACCCTGTTTTCCAGATGAGAACATGGGAGGCCAGGAGAAGGGAGTGGTTGGCAGTAGGGCGGCTAGACCTACTATCTTGCCTGTGAGCCCAGACATGCACCTTAGCCCAAAGGCAGAACCATAGCTCTCAGGCTCCTGTAGGCAGAACTGCATGTCTGCTGAGAACACAGGGAGGCCATGGGGGCCAACAGGGTGTCCCCAAGGGATGAAGTGTAGGGCCAACCCACCTGGGATGGAAAAGAAGCAGTTGTGGGCTGATGTATGGAGCCAGGATTGTGGCACCTGATGGCCAGCTAGGACAGAAGGACAGAAAGCAGCTCCCGGAGCAGGGTGGCTTGAGGATAGGGTCTGGAGAAGTGTTCCACCCAGTATCCTTTGCCAGGCAAGTTCTCCACCAACCAACAGAGCAGCTGACTTGAGTCAGGCACTCAGACAGGGTCCCAACTGGGTGCCAGCTTCCTTGGTGCTGAGCACCATGGCCCACCATCACAGACTCTTGAGGCCATTCCTGAAGACAGTTGTGACACCGAGGTCTTGCAGGATTATCAGATGGCTGGTGACTAAGTGGCTGAATGGCAGGGAGCCCAACAGCATCTCAGGCACATGTCTTCCTGGTCAACCCTACTTTCTTTTTGAGTGAGGATATCTGACAGTTTAGCCAAAGGGAGCAGCTCATATTTTCTGTTTGGATGTCAAGATAGAGAGAGGCATGGGCCAAGTCTTCTCAGAGAGGTGCAGCACTAGCTTCTGTGGTCACAGCCTAGTGAGTCCACACAGAACCCCCTAAATATGCCAGTATGAATCTGATTCACTCAGCATTTTATCTTCAAATTTGGTTACACAGCAGGGAGGTAGGAGTCACATTAGTAAGAATCAGATCCCAAAGGGCAGCCTTGATAGCCAGCACTGAGGATGGAGTCACATGGCTATCCTCTGGTCTCAGGCCTGGCCCTCTGCCCCTGCAGGCAGCTCCATCTAGGTGCCCTAGAGGGTAGGTGAGGAGTAGAGGGCAATGCAAGCTTTGTGCACACCCAGGTTATTCGAGGAGCTCCTTGTAGGAGCTCACTCAACTCCAAGGAGAGGTCCCTATGTCACCATGGAGAGTTTGGGCCCAGGAGGGAAGGGTAAAAAGGTGTTGCATTGTGATGTTTCTATGCTTCTGCAAAGAGCGACACAACTAGCAGAGTGGAAAGGATCTGGTTTGTGTAAGACCCCATTGCAGAACTCTCTGGGAAGGGTTTAGCCTCCCTTAGGAGAGAAGGGCTTATGGGGACTGTGTGTCTGAGAACACCAGGAAATCAAACCAGCACCCCATGAATGGGCTCAATTTTCCTCTCTAAATATGCTAAGAAAAAGCTTATATCTGACACATTGTAGCAAAGATCATTCATTTTGGTGTCAAAATTAAAGCCCACTTTTGGGTACCTTCCACAAACATCTACTGAGCACGTCTGAGTCTTGTCAAGCAAGGCAAGAGAGGTCGACCTGCATAGTTTTTCCAGGTCCACCAAAACCTCTGCTCACAGGAGACGCCAATAAAAAAACTAGGCCAGGCCATGTGAACCAGAATCCAAGCAAGTTGTCTGTTGCTCTTTGTTTGTACTGACTTTGTTTGTACTGACTTTACCCCAGACTTGGGATGGGTAAAGGGTCAAGGACAAGGAGACCTGAGCTTGAATTGTGATGTCGAGCATCCAGCAAGTCAGGGATGCTTCAGATCCCTTGGAAGGCTGAGCCCCAAGGCAGGAGAAGGCAGGGAGGCCTATGCATCCACCTGGATGAGTGTAGCCATTACCACCCAACAGCTCTGCTGACAAAAGCCTGGCCTGGGAAGACCCCCAAACTTCTCACCCATCAAAGGAGTTGAGTAACCAATTAAAGAAGCACCAGTGTAACCAGTAGGTACCGGAACAGCTTCTCTCTTATGTCCCTGCCCAGGGAAAGGTGTAGTCAAGGGGGAAATGGTGGGGTGGGGAGGATGACACTTGCTGAGGCCCTACTCTATAGGTTAAAACATTTAAAACACACCCTGGCTTGTGTGGCTCAGTGGACTGAGCAACTTCCTGTGAACCCAAAGGTTGCTGGTTCAATTTCAGGTGGGGGCACATGCCTGGGTTGCTGGCCAGGCCCCTGGTTGGTGGTGGTGGCATGTGAGAGGCAAGTGATTGATATTTCTTTTCCTCTCTTTCTTCCTCCCTTTCCCTCTATTTATAAAATCTTGGGGGGGGGGACATTTAAAACATGGCCTTAAGGTCTCTTTGAATATCTGAGGAGGCCTCACTTGCTCTGCCTACCACCCACCTCCTGCTCCTCTCCTCCTGCGTTGGGATTGGGTTCTCTCCAGCCTAGCTCCCCTGACCATGGATGGGCCCATGGGCTTCACTCCCATGAGCTTCACTCTGCATTCAGGACTCAAGCCCATCTCCAGCTGCCTGTGGACTCACCCTGGGAAGTGCACAACAAAGAACAGGGTCACACAATGGCTAGATGGTAAAGAGCCCAGCATGGGGTCCAGCTCAGCTCCCCAGCTGAGCTGCCCAAGTGTGGGTGGCAGGGGGGTTTACAGAGGTTGTAAGAGATGCCTGCCTTGGCAAAAGCAAAGGAGCAGTTAAAGAGTGCCTTATATACCTACATCTGAGGTGCAGAGGTCCCACCTGTGGTTTCCTCAGGGCAGTTACATGCTTGATGCTTGGGTGTGTGAGCTGCTTTTCATTATGTTCCTAGCTGTTCCACAATGAACCTGGCCATGCTTTTCCTGCCCACACTATACTGCCCAGGCTACAAGAACCCGAGCAGGCTCAGAACAGGGATCTTAGTTAGGCACAAACACCTCCTTGGACTCATCCTCCTGGGTAAGCATTGAAAGCTTCCCTCTATCCTCCAGAGTCCAACTGACTGGTAAGATGCTGCCTCCAGGAAGCCTTCCCTGATAGTACCCACGCAGGCTCTCCTAACAGGGCCCCTGGCTGCCTACCTGAATCCCCAGTCCACAGGGCCATTTAAGGCTGGGCACTGCCTTGATTCACATATATTCAGCATATTTCACATGAGCTGAAGAGTTTAGGTCTCCGGAACTCAGCTGGGACCTCCACCCACCTGAGGACATGGACATTTAGATCCCCCTGCCTTCTCCCTAGACCTTTACCAACAGGCCTCAGGGTCATCACTACGGGGACCTGTGTCACACAGGTCACCCTGGTCATACCTCACCCTCCAGGCTAGGCTTGTCTGACCCAACCCTCCTCCTTCTGCTTCTCCTGGCACATAACTCACCCCTGTGGCACTCCCTCTACTGTCCACTGCCATCGCAGGTTCCTCAGAGCTGGCACTCACCATCTGAAAGGGATAGAGACAGCTGGCATGAGTGGAGGTTCCATGGCCATATGCTAACATCCAGTGCAGTGTTGGGATGGCCCCAGACCTCCATCTGATTATCACAGCCCCACAGGGAGGCAGACCCAGTTCTTGCTCTGCCCTCAGGTATCATGTGGGGAACTTTGCACCTGCCTTCTACTTCCAGGCTTGGCCCCTGTGCTAACTTTAATCGCAGACACTGGGGGCGTGGGATTTGTTTCCAGGTCACCTCTGTTCAAGGCAGGGGATAGTACATTCCCTGTCCAGAAGTGATATAGTTTTCTTTCAAAATACTCCAGAAAGCAGAAAAAAGCAAGTAGATTTGATGCAAACATTAATTAGATAACAAGGTGCCCTCATTAAGCTGAAGACCCAGTTAAGCCATAAATAAGTCCAGCTAGGCCTGGCATCTGGGTCTCTGGCTGCTAGGCCAGGCTGAACTGGGCATCTGCCAGGTTCAGGGACATCTCTGATGAGGAGCATGGAATGAGGTAACCTCACTTGGAAGCCCAGACTGAGGAAGTGCCCCCAAGGAATAAGGGATGGCTACAGCCCTGACTCCCCTGCATTCCCTGCCCCAGGTGGCTCTGAATGGGGACCAGTGAACTGCCCTACTGATAAGATTACACTGTTCAGGTTCATGTGAGATGAAGAAACTCCTCATTTGGCAGTCTCACCTGGGCCCGTCCTTCATTCCTGAGCCTAAGTAACACCTGGCCTCAAAGCACACTGGTCCCCATGTGGGTACTCAGTAAAGAGTGGACAATAAGTGTACACCACCTGTCTGCCATCCTCCTGGTCCTAGGCATGAGGGTAATTTGGCATGAAGGCCCAGCTTCCCTCCCTGACACCAGCCCTTGTATAAAAGGTCTGTGTAGCTGTGGTGGGCACTGGCTCCCTGCAGCCATGAGCCCATCCAGGTGAAACTCATGAAGTAGGCAGGCGATCCCTCCCATAACTCCCAGGGATCTAGTTCTCACAGGTAGGTCTGAAGAGAGGGAGGGGTCCTCGTCCTGGCTGAAGGAGCAGCTGAAGGCCTTGAAGGTCTGGCTGTTATGTTTGTGCTTCTCAATGGTGGCCTCAATGACCTGAAATCAGACCACAGAGAACAAAGGCCCTCAGCATGTGTGCACTTAAGGGAAAACCAACATGGTGCCTCTGTCACTGAGGATGGGGGGGGGGGGTCCTGTGGTCACCATGGTAACCCTTGACTTTGCACATTGGCAAACCCCTCTAAGATGAGGAAATATATAAGGCCCAGGGACATGACCAAAGGCCAGGCAGGCCCCCACAGGTACTATCTCACAGGTACCAGTGCCACACCACAAGTGGCCAGGTTCCCTCTCTTGATGCTTCAGGCCATGGGTTGATGCTTTCTGGGAATGTGGATTTGAGTCTATGTTTCTATTTTCTATATCAGCATTTCCAGGTTCGTCAGCATCTCTGAATTTCTTTTTACTTCTCACCCAGATATCTGTTCTGTGCATTTTAGAAGTCACAGTCTCTCACAGTGTTTGGCCTACCCATGGTGAATCTGGGCTCCTTATGGCTTTAACACAGCCTGCTAACTTTTGCCCTCACAGGCTTGTCTGAACCCTGTATCCCCACTGTGGCCAGTCCTAAGCAAGTTTGCTCTGGCTGTTCCAGGACACTTCCTTCCTCCCTGCCCAGCCTGTCCCTGGAAGCATAGGCTCTATCCTGTAAGTCACAGTGTTAGTCCTGCTCGAACTGCTGGCCGTGAAGAGAGGATAACATGGGCTCTGTCTGAAACTGTAAGACAACAGAGATCCACCCCCGCGGGTGAGGGCACCTCCTTACCTGCCCACCTCTAGGCCCTTTATATTTATTTATTTACTAGGGGGCCAAACAAGCAAATGGCTTGGAAGGCTTGTGCCTAAAGTGGGCACTAAAGGTGCTTATAAACTTGGTTACTCCATCATTTCAAGGTAGACAGATAGGTACGGCAATGTCTAGAGATCATGGGGCTATTCAATTCCTTGTTCCAACAGGAAACAGCTACACTGCTTGAGAATTTTGTGGTTTTGTTCCTTTGAAACTTTAGGAGCTTCACCTGAATCCATTCTTTCTTCTCCTCTTCTGTCCTATGAAAAATGGAAGCAGTATGCTATTAATTCAGTCTTGGATACTGACTATAAACCACCAGACTCCTCTTAGCCCTGTAGCATATGCCTGAAGTGCTCACTGTGTTGAAGTGCAGTTCAAGGCTTAGAAGATTGGTACTGAAGGGCTCCAGAACACTGTGGCAATATGGAATCAGGGGCATCCAGGTGGGGTCAGGTGTGTTCAGGTAGAGTCATGTATGTCCAGGTGGGGTTAGTTGTGGCCAGGTGTGACCAGGTGGAGTCAGGTATAGACAGGTGGTCATGTGGCCAGGTAGGATCCAATGTGTTCAGGTTTATCCAGGTGACTCATGTGTGTCCAGGTATGGTCAGGTGTGGCCAGTGTCCATCCAGGTGTGTTCAAATGTCATCAGATTTAGCCATATGAGGTCATATATGGCCAGGTGGGGTCAGGTGTGACCAGATGCAGTTAGATATAGTTACATTGGGTCAAATGGGGTCAGGTGTGGCCAGATGAGGACAGGTATGTCTAGGTGCAGATAGGTGTGGTATGCAGAGCCCTCTTTCCTGGATGTAAATCAATGCCTCCCTTGGCCACAAGGGGTTATAACAAAGGTCCTTGGTAGAATTTAGAGGAGGGATCTCCCACATGTTGCCACTAGTCAGAGCCCAACCCTGGAGCTGCCTTACAGGGTATTTTGACAACAGCTACAAAAACTTAAAGCAGACATGCTACCCAATAGTCAGCAATTCTATTTCAGGAGTCCATCTGACAGATAGAATGCACATATGCATGAAACCTGGTGTGAAAATGTGACAAGACCCCAGAGGAGCCTAGGTGCATGTCAGTGAGAACTGATCAATGATCATAAGGAAGAATTATGCTACTTTAGGAAATGGTGCTCAGATTAAGATGATTTCAGATAAATTAAGTAAAAAAAGCTAGATGCAGAATAGGCTATACAGTAAATAAATAGTCATCTGTGATTTTACAAATAAATACATATGTACGAGCACAGAAATTTTGGAAGGATATTTAAGGGATGGTTAAGAATGTCCACTGTGGGGAGAAACAGGTAGGCAGAGATTTAACTTGTACTGACTTCCCCTTATTCTGTCACATTTTAAACCACAAATAAGTGAATACAATTAATAAATAAAAACACATAGCAAGGTTATCTGGTTTATAAAAAGAAGACATTTGCTAAAATTCTAGTTCAAAGATACTCAATTCACACTGCAACAGACACTAACACAGCTGGGCCTACCGGGTTTGTAGCTCCAGGGACCTTTTCCTTCCTGTTATGATGAATGTATGGGCTGAGTGTGGCTTGCTGATATCCTGCACCTAAAGGCACATGACGAAGGACAAAACAAAATAGCCAGTCACTTAGCATGCCCTGAGCTGTGACCTCATGCTCTCAGACATGGAGGTCTTTTCTGAGGAGGGGGCAGAGGTGTTTCAATGTATCTTCCGGGTGCCTGGCTCAAGGTCATGGTTGGGGGACAGCTGTTCTATGAGCAAGTCTGTAGGGGAGGGTGGACCATCCTGTGAAGGAGTACCTAGGACCTCTCATCTACCAAACCTGCCTGCCCTCTGGGATTCCTGGGAAATCAGAAGCCAGCCCCTGGACAAGTTGAGGATTTCTCTACCCAGGAACCCACAGGCATGACACCTGATCGAGGGATGGGACTCTTAGGAGAAGGGCCAGGATGATCTCCACTGCTCTGCAAGAATGAATACCTGAGCTCCATGCCTAGATGTTGCCCTTAGGCAGGTAGCTGTCAGAACCAGCACCTGCATGTGAGGTATATGGGCCTTGCCTGCTCTGGATCTTCATTGGGCCTCACAGAACTTTCCCAAAGAGCCCAAGACTGAGAAACTCTGCTTTAACACACCCAGTTAATTATACACACTGCCTTTTTTTTTTTTTTAACAGAGTAACACTAGAAAAGTGTTTCTTTAACTCTGGGACAGAACCTAGTTTTTCTCTAGTTAATCATTACTTTAATGGTATTTTAAAAACATGGATTCAGAGAATTGCAAGGTAAGAAGGGATTTTTTGTGTGTATCTCTAAGGAAAAACTTCACTTTTTAGAACTATTTAAATACTTTTATATAGCCATTATATTTTTGAGCACCTACTAATTCACATTCTTTCCCCAGAGGGGAAGGGACTGATTCCAGCTCCTGGAGCCCCCCCATGCCAGGAGACACTGACAGGCTCAGGGAACTGGGACAGTGAGGACAACAGGTTGTCTGGATCTCAGGCTCAGGCACCTGTAGAAACTTGTTTGGGCACAGAGGTGGTGCAGGAGTGGGGAGAGCATGGGTTGGGATCAGGCATTCATCCCATGCTTTGTCTTTAGGTCTGTAAATGGGGTCCTCAGTGCTGACCTCACAGGGCACAGGGGTCAGCCAAGGTCCTAGGCTCATCCTTCACCCTGTGAGCATAAAGCTCATAGTGCCCTGGCAGATGGGCAAAGAAGAAGGACAGGGCATCCTGCTCACCCAGCCCAGTATGACAGGTCAAGGCACCTTCAGAGACAGTCCAGCCATGCCTGGGTCACACTATAGAGCAGAGGCTCAGAGAAGTGGTCCAGCAGCCAGGTGTACAGCAGGGGCTGGAGACTGCATCCCCACCTCCCCACCCCTGGTGTGTGCCTTCCCAGGGAAGTGGGGAAGAAAGGAGGGGTTCACCCACCTGAAGGTCTGAAATGTCTATCTTCTCCCGGACGCTGAACTTCTGGCCCATGAGCCACAGTTTGGGCATACAGTAAAGGATCATACTGTTGAACTTTGACAGAAAAGGCAGGGTAAGGGTCAGGCAGGCTGCCGAACTACCCCATAAAGAAGGAATCCCAGGGAGGAGGTATGTAGTGGCTCTGGGGCTGGGCTGGTGTGGAGTTAGGCAGGCCTGATGGGGTGGGGCTCACCAGGAAGAGGTGGCGGTCCTGGGCTGTGCCATTCTTGGCGGATAGCTTCTGGATATGGCCCTCCTTGATCAGCTCATTGGCAGGGTTGACAATGTTCTCCTCCCCACCCAGTTGCTCATACACTTCCAAGAGCTTATGCATTTTCTCCTGCAAGAGACATAGGGCTCAGGCAGCTGTGTGGCCACTGAGACTGGAGGCCTGTGGGTCTGCTAGGGACCAGAGATGAGTGGAACCCTGCCATGCAAGCATGGTTCAAAACCAAGACAGGATAATGAGACTACTGATGGGGTAGGAGGAAAAACATGGGGTAACTAATGCTCAAGTTGAGTGCTGAAAGACAATTAGAAGTTCACAGTGCATAGAACAATAAATGACAACAATAGCTAATGCTGCTGCTATATGCCAGGCGGTGTTCCATGCACAATATAGGTATTAGCTTATGCAGTTTTAGCATTGACCCTGTTAAGTGGGTGCCATTATTATCCCCAACTTACAGATAAAAAACTAGGGCACAGAGAAGTCAGGTGGCATGCTGGAGGTGCAGCTGAACTGGACCTGGCCCTCTCAGCCTCTGCACTGCATGCCAGCTCCTTCTATGGGGCTTCTATGAAAGCTTTCAGGGAGACCCATCAGGAAGCTGCAACTTTTACCTCAAACAATCCTTCTTCTTCTGGTAGCCTTGCCTTGTTTCCTGCTCTACCAGGCCCATTATAAGACCAGACCTTTGCCAATCTGCAGCTTATCTCCCTTTGGACTCAGAAGTGGATGGGAGGTCACATGACCCACAAGTGCCCCTGGGGAGCAATGAGAGATAGTTAGCAGCTATGGCCCCAGCTCTGAGCCAAGAGGTCATGGGCCCTGACTTGTCACTGTTACCATCTGGGGCCTGAGCCAGGAGCAAAGGAGTGCATGCAGCAGAGGCTGAGCTGAGCCTGCAGGAACCCCAGCACAGTAATACAGAGCATTGACCCACCATGCTGCAACAGCTCCTGCCCTTGGACCTGGTCTCAGTCTGCACACTTCAGAGGCAGATTGGTTTGGCTGAGCCTTATGTTTTTGGTACAGAAATAGATGGTGCATGTGGGTGTGGCAGGGGGCAGGAAGAGAGCTGGCAATGAAAGTGAAGAGGACCAGAGGGCAGGACTGAAGGGCCTTGTATGTACCGGAGGGCTTGGAGAACACCTGGGGTGTACTAGGGGCCTGAGCATGCACCTGGTATGTACTAAGGGGGCTAGGTGTGCACCTGGTATGTATTGGAGTCCTTGGCATACATTTGGGATATACGGAGTATGGTGGGTGTGTACCTGGTGTTTACTTGGGGGGCTGGATGTGCATCTGGTGTGTACTGGGTAGGGGACTGTGTATCTGGCATTTACTTCGGAGGATGGGAGTATACCTGGTGTGTTCTGTGGGTCTGGGAGTGTACCTGGTATGTACTGGGTGGCCTGATGTGCACCTGGTATGTACTGGGGGGTAGGCATTCACCTGGTAAGTACTGGGTGGGCTCGGTGTGCATGTGGTATGTATTGGGTGAGCTGGTATACATCTGGCACGTTGTGAATGCTTGGTACACACATAGTGTGTACTGGGGGGCTGGGCATTCACCTGGTATGTAGGAGAGCTGGTTTGTACTTGGGAGGCAGTTGCAGTCCAGGAGGGTTCTGAACAAAAAATATTAAGATAGGTGCCCCTTAGAATCTCTGAGGTGGAGAAGGATGGATCAAAGACCAGGGAGACTGGTGGCTTGAGGAGGCTTGGAGAGATTGTAGAGGCTGAGATTGAGGGTAAGCCTCTATTCTAAGAGGCTTAGAATAGATGAAAGCATGAAGAGGCACCAGTAAGGACACACTGATAAATCCCTGGGGCTACCAACTGGGTTTTCATGGGGCCCTCCCACTGGAGCCTCCCACCTATCATTCCTAGCAGGCAGAGGCCTCACTGGACATGGTATAAGAACCACCTCGCAGCAGGTGTGCCACAAGTGGAACAGAAATCCAACAGAATGGAAGGCCGCAGGTCCTGTCCATCCCCTCAGTGATGTTGGCCTATGGAAGCTCCCCAACATGTCCACAGGCTCTATATGGGCTCATGACCATGGAATTCTGCAAAGCAGCTTTCCCTCCTTCACCATATTTAGTCTTGGGTGAGAAAAATGAGGGAAATTAGATTTTTAAAAGACCCAGAGTAAAATGTGGCCTGTTTAGGGTTGCCATGGGTACTCAACAGTGGACCTGACCTCAGGCCAGTCTGGTCTAGGGGCCCCAGACCCAGACCTGGGGACAGATAGGTAACGATGCTGGAAGTAGACCATACATAACAAGAGTTGTCCCAAAACAAGCTGTCTAATTCTCAATTTTCACTTTTGAGAAATGTGAGATTTAAAAAAATATTTTACTTTCTTTTTATCTAAAAAACAACGGTGCCCTACAGAATAATATTGAATGCAAACTGTAATTGGAAAAGAAAAAAACAGCATTTGTGTGAAGGTAAATAGCTCTCAGGACTGGGAGACAGACACCAGAGCTGGGTGGAAACTGCAGTGACCTGGAGAGCTGGACAGTGTGCAGGACAGAGCCACCTGAGTCACAGGGTATTGGGGTGGGCTCAAGGTTGTCTCATTACCCACAACCCCATTACACACAGGTATTAGATCCACAGGGAGACAAGTCTCTTCCACCTTTAGGCTGTATTTGGAGGTAGGGTCTTTGGAGGTAATTAAGTTTAGGTAAAGGCACAGTTGGGAAAACAGATCCTCATGATGGGATTAGAGCCTGATAAAAAGAGACCAGAAAGCTTTGTTGTTCTCTCTCACATATTGCCACTTGAAGACACAGTGAGAAGGCAGCTGCCTGCAAGCCAGGACTGAATCTGCTGGCACCTTGATCTGGGAATCTCAGCCTCCAGAACTCGTAGACTACATGTGTGTTGTTTAAGCTGCCCTGTCTGTGGTATTTTGTTATAGCCAACAGAGCTGACTGAAACAACTGGAATAAACGAATAAATGAAAAGGTGATGGGAACACTGAGAGCTAATATTGTGCCTGGTCCTGTTCCATTTTATGTAGAGTGATTTACTCCCCACAACAGTCCAATGAGACAGGTTCTGTCAGTAGCTGTGTTTTACAGATGGGGAAACAGAGGCACAGAGTACTAAATAACATACCAACAATCATCGAGCTAATATGAGGTAGGCCTGTCTGGTTCTCAACAGAGCCCCTGTTTGTCCTGTGGGACATGTGGGTGCATGTGCACACTGATGGAGCCCATCTGGGAACAGGTGGGAAGGTGTACACACCAGTGGAGCCAACTCAGGGACAGGTGTATATGTGCATGACGATGGAGCCCAACTGAAGACAGGTGGGTGAGCATGCACACTGATGGACATGTGTGTGAGTGTGTGTTTGTGTATGTGTGTGCATGTCGATAAAGCCTACCTGGAGACAAGTGGGTGGGTGTGCATGCAGAAGAAGCCTACCTGGGAACAGGTATTTGTGTGTGGTGTGTGTACATACTGATGGCTCCTGGCCCACTCCACACTCTTCCTTTGTCATACTATAGGTCCCTCAGATAACCTCCAGGAGTCACCTGCCCACTCACCATTTTCTGAATGGCAGCATTGGAGTGGTTAGCAGCAGTGGAGATGAGCTCCAAGGACCCTGCAGGAGGAAGATTTGGAGTTAGGCTACAGGATGCCTGGTGGCTCCATACACATGCTGGACCAGTGAGGCTAAGAATTATGTTCTGCCCTGCTCTCCCATTTCCCAGAATATTGGGGTTGCTTAAGAGGCTCAAGAGGCCTGACTAGTTGGGAGAAGGGGAAGTAACCCTACAAGCCATACCTCATTTGCTGGGCCTGGGGAACTAACACCAAATTTCATGGGTAGCCCCTGCACTGTACTGTGTGCTGGTCACTATTTTTGGGCCAGCAGTGACCCCTGCTACTCAGTGAGGTCCTTCCTGAGGCCTAAGCATTACCAACACTTAGTAGCTTCTCCCCAGAACCCGTGTCTGCCCTTCACACTGTAGCGGAAGCAGGGGCATCCTCCTCTGTTTCAGAGATGCTCAGTCACTTACCAAAATGTGTTTAAGGGACACTTGGAGCTCTCTCCCTCTCCCTCTCCCTCTCCCTCTCCCTCTCCCTCTCCCTCTCCCTCCCCCTCCCCCTCCCCCTCCCCCTCTCCCTCTCCCTCTGTCTCCATCTGTCTCTCTCTGTGTCTCTCTCTGTCTCTGTCTCTCTGCTTCTGTCTCTATTTTTCCATTTCTCTCCATCTCAGTCTCTCTATCTCCCTGTCTCCCCGTATATATTTCTGTTTCAATCTCTCTCTGTCTGTGTCTCTTTCTCTCTGTCTCCTTCTCAACATAGGTTTTAAGAGGTGCCCCTGCTCCCACTTCCCAGGAGCCTAATGGCCTAGTGGTGGCTCTGCTCACTTTCTGCATCCCTCCGGTCTGGGGCATCAGCTGGGAGACGCTTCACATAGTCCTTGAGCAGCAGTTCATAGCGGGGGACCCTCTGCACAGGCTCCAGCATGTGGTGCTGCAGTGTCAGGTTCCCGCATACCTCCTGCTTCTGTAGGGAAGATAGACAGTGCAAGCCACCTGTGGGCAAACGTGTGAACCTGGTCCCCACCCTTAGTTCAAGCCATCCAGGAGGCTGCCCTGAACCTGCTGACTGCAGACCACATACTGTGGAAGGGGGAACTATGCTTGAAAAGGCTGAGCAATGAAGCAAGGACAGAGAACCCAGATGGGCTGCTCTAGACCCAGTGCTGGCTCTTTTATATACATACTTGGGGGAGAAAATAAAAGCTTGGACAAAGACCATCTCCTTCCCTCATGAGAGACTTCCCCACTCACATTCACCCAGGGGCCTAAACTGAGCCTCTTTCTCACACTGGGAAGTCAGGAGATTCCCCAACACTCCCTACAGGGAATCCTTAGGGACCATGCCTAGACACTGCTCTAATGACATCAATTTCTTTCCTATGAACATGACAGTGAGTGTAGGGTAGGGTGACTGGCTGAGACCCTTCTGGTTGCCCCTGCCCAGCACTGCTCCCAGGCTCCTACCTTCTTTCTTAAACATAACCCTCCTTCTGGCCCTTTAGAACCTCCTCCAGACCAAATTGGGCATCTGCACTCCAGACCACATGTGCTGAACAGTGTCACCTGCCATCTCTGTGCTTACCCACCAGGGTCCCTGCCTGTGCTGCTCTCTCTTCCTCCACTGACGAATGTCCCAGCACCTGTGTCTTGGCTTATAGGCCTGCCTGCCTCATACAGAATCTATCCCGCCCCTGTGTCTACCTGGGGAATCACTGCAGTCATCCAGGTTTTCACACAAGCCATTTACCAACACCACCACCACCACCCCCGACCACCACACACACACACAGACCTGTCACCCTTGCCTAGCTCAGGGCCTGGAACAAAATGGCTTCCAGCTGAATTGAGCTCAGAATGCCTTGGACCTAGCAGGGCTGAAGAGCATTAGTCTGCAGCCACCAGCTGTTTCAGGCAAGATGTATCCAGCAGGATGAGGAACAGGGCATTATACCATCTCAAAGCATCTCCCTATAAGAAACTTATTAATAGGGAAAAATGTAACTTCACCCTGGAAAGGTCTGGCAGACATGCCCCAAATCAAATGAGCATCCCCCAGAAGTGGGACAACAGGAAGCATGGCATCTCATCAGATTGGGACACTGTGTGAATGTGAGGTTTGCAGCTGCTATATCAAGGAGGAACAGGTCCACAGAATATGCCCTCCTTCCTTCTGGAGTCTAAACAGTTGTTGTTGGCTGGTGAATGGGGAAGCACACCAAGTGAAACCTAATTTTGTCTTTTCTTCTCTTCATCCTCAAAACAACCAAATCAGATATCAATTGCCCAGTGCAAATTAGACAGATCTCAACTTCCTCAATTATAGTTATTATTATTATTGTTGTTGTTACTATTATTATTAAGAAGAAGAAAAGATGCAGGAGGAGAAAAGAAATGCAGGAAATATAACAAATGCAGGCATCTGTGCTGGGAAGGATAGTGCAGCCATGGGGAGTTTGGGTCTATAAGGCCCTTTGGGTGGGTCCACAGTTCCCCTTGAAAATCACAATGCCTCTCCAAGGACAGCAGTTAGCTTGACAGGGAACTCTAACAAAACCACACAGGTACACACTTCCTGGGGAAAGAGATGTTGCTATAATTTATGTCCAAGGAAATGGGGCTTTGTTCTCCATCTGTCAGCTTTGACAGGAGTGTGGAACTATGGCACTCATACCAGCCTAAACCTTTATTTTTAGGATGCCTTGCATGAGCCAACCCCAGTTAGCCCTGCTACTGGGTGACCAGCCCCTGAAGACTGGGACAGCATGAATGTCTGATCTCCAGTCACTCAGAGCTGTGGGTAAACCACATGTACAGCTCAGGGAGGCTGGAGGAAACTGTGTTGTGAGGAGAGCTGGGAGTTTCCAGAAACAAGTGAGGGGGTAAGGATTCATTGGGTGCAGGCAGAAGGGAGAAGGAAGAATTCAGTATCCGAACTGTTCTTTCTGGGGAGGGACAGGGATTCTGAGGGACACTAGGAAATCATCGCTGACCTGATGACAGAGGATTTGAGAAAATTTAGAAAGTTATGGAGGGGCCACCCCAAACCTAAGTCTGGTCTCTAAACCCTCAGCACAAAGGATCTCTGTACCCATTAACCCTCTAGGATACATTAAGGAATGTGTGTGTGTGTGTGTGTGTGTGTGTGTGTGTACTAGTGACATTGAGACAAATGGCTAACTTCACAAAAATAAAACTAGATTCTTACCTCATACCTGGAACATTCTCACAATATACAAGGAAACTACTCTGGAATAACATTTTTTATTTTTAATTTTTAAAATGAATCCATACATTAGAAGAAAACATAATTTCTATAACTTTGAGGGTGAGAAGTAAATTTTTTAAAGCATAACTTTATTTAAAAATGGGCAAATGTGGTTAATTAAAAACCAAAAATTTTGTATAAAAAAACAGCACCCTAGTCCTGGCTGGTGTAGCTCAGTGATTGAGTACAGGCCTGTGAAGCAAAGTGTTGCTGGTCTGATTCCCACTGAGGGCACATGCCTGGATTGGCCAGGTCCCCAGTGAGGGCCACATGAGAGGCAACCACACACTGATGTTTCTCTCCCTCTCTTTCTCCTTCCCGTCCCCCCTCTCTGAAAATAAATAAATAAAACATTTTTAAAAAAACATTTGAGTAACTAAAAACTGCTCACAGTTTTTAAAAAAACCAGCACCCTAAATAAAATTAAAAAACAAAAGTCAATAAGAAAAAATTATTTGTAACACATATGACAGACAACACTCTTAACATATAAAAATGTTGTGAATCAATAAGAAAAAGGGCAAGACAGCAGTAGATAACAGCAGCCAAATGTGAACAGGCTGTTTGTAGAAAAAGAAAGACCAATGTAACATCTGCCTAAGTGCCTGCTCTAGCCATTGAGGAACACTGTGGAGGAAGAACTGGCATTTGGATCCAGGTTCTGTCTACAGTAGTTTGTGACAACACAGATCACACAGCCTCTTTGAGCCATGGTTTCCCCACTGGTGAAAGAAAAATGATTTGTCTCTGAAAGTTATTTTAAGAATCAAAGCATCAATAGAGCACCTAGACACATCTCACACGGGTACCAATTTTCTCCACGTGAAAGCACCAATCTAGCGCTCTGCCCCTGAGGCCATGGTAGGACCCTACCTGGATGCTGTGGACGATGTCTCTGAACAGTGGTGAGCGCTGGGTCCAGGCACTCACCAGCTCCACAGCCCGATCAAAGTTTTTGACATATTCACCATACATCTTGAGGAAGGGGGCCAGCTTCTGCAGGATGTCTCCAAACCGAGGATTCATGTCCCTTTGTGGAGGAGTGAGATCATTAGAGAAACAACTCAGGTGGGGGGTCAGAATGGGACAGGGACTTCACCAGGGAGTTATGAGTGGATGGCCTGACTTGAAGCTCTTTGTGACAGTAGGCAAACTCGTCACCTTGTGTGAGCCTTAGTTTCCTTCCCTGTATCACATGGAGTAGAAAATAGTGTATTACTGCATGGCAAATGAGAGGATCATATAAAGCACTTCAGCAGTACAGAACCATTGCTCAAAACTAGGTGGTAGTAATGGAAAGCCACTCTCATGATGGGTCACAGTTATCAAAGAGAAGCAAAGAAACTCTGTTTTACTCCCTGAAATGAGAAAAGATTAGAAGCAGTGGGACAACCCAAAGTTGGCACCATCATGGAAGAGCAGTATACCACACTACTGATAATGATTTGGACAGGGATTTAGAAGTGTTTAGAAAAGCATAAAAATATATTGATACTCTTTGACCTTAGAACTGTGATGGGTATTTAACCTAAGAAAATTAACAAAAAGGAGAAAAAAGGCACACATGCAAGCTATCCACTGCAACGTCACTGGAAATGTGCACTTGGGATTTCATTCAAAGCTCCATCCCCCACCTGTGAAGAGAGCAGGCAGACACTGAACTCCTGCACCATATTGTATCAGGACTGCATGGGCAGTCAAGCACTAACAGTCTCTCCAAGGCCTGGAAGAGAAGACCCATTTAGAGCCATAAGGACTATGTCAGCCAGAAGACTAGTCCAGCCCTGAGCTTTAACCCCATGGCCTAGTGACACCTGCTCTATAGGTGGAGCCTGCCCCTCTAAAGAGCTACAAATTGACACAGGGTCTGGCTGAGCCTTACAGGTGAGGGGACAGCCTCTTCATCCAGCACTGGCTTGCCTCTCCCTGGCCTGGTTCTACCTTGGAGTGGGCAGGCTTCTGGTATTCCTGATGCTACAAGAGAACAGCACAGTGGCTCAGGCCAGGCCAGCAAAACAAAGCTGGAGCAGTACCCAGGACAGAGCAGAAATCACATGAGGTGGAAATGGCCAGGAGGGGGCCCTGCCTGTGATGTTTTATTATCATGACTTGCAGCTGAGCTAAGAATGAATGGAAGTGGCAGAGAAACAGAAGGACAGCCCCCAGGGACAGAGGAAGGATCCAAGGTGTACTATTGAGGGGGGAATCTAATTTTTAAAGCAAAAGTAGAGTATACCCTAGGAGGAAAAATGAATCGACTAGCACTGTTTGCTGGCTGTTTGGTGCTTGCAGATGTCTAAATCCATTTAAATCCCATGAAGCCCTAAGCAGGTATTAAAGTCCCTTTGGTCTGTAGATGAAGAAGCTAAGACTGGGAGATACTAAGAAGCAGTGGAGTTGGTAGGGTCAAGATTGGCCCAGGACCTTGTGGAGGAGCACAGAACACCATGAGATAAGTACCTGCCTGGCTTTAGATCATAAAAACTCCAGAAATAGAGGCCACTTGGCAAAGAAAATTAAAAAAAAAAAAAAAAAAAACACTGTGACAAAATCACCAGGACACTCAACTGTCAACTTTGTTGAAGCCAAACTCCCCTGGAGATGCTGGTCCCCCATTTCTCAGGTGCTGTGAGCCACACTCACCATTCTTCTGTGATCCTTGTCTGCAGCTCAGGCAGGAGGAACTGTCCGTGGAAGTGATAGATGGAAGAGATGTTAGAGAAGATGCCTGTGGTGACTTCCAGAGGGATTCCTGCTTCTGTCAGCTGGGTGCAGAAAACCTGGGCACATAATGGTCACTGAGTGTGGGTCACCATTGATAGGATCTTCCCATTTCATTGAAGTGGCTCAAACAACCTTATGGCCTTAAAGCAAGCTTACTTATGGCTAAGGATTGGGGACAAGGCAAGGACAGTCCCCTCCATATGGATATAAGCCATCTTTCCTCCATCAAACTTTCCTCCATCTTTCCTTCCCATCAAATTGGGAAATGGGAGTTCCCAATTTTCTTTCTTTGCTAGTGAGCAGCAAAGATTCCTTTGGAGTTACTTCCTGTGCTCATAAACACTATGTTGCTGCATGGACAGAGGAAGCGTCACCCACAGTCCCAATTATTTATGCAGAAAGATATCCAGAGGCCATTTACATGCTCATATAATGTGACTGCCAGGAATAAAGGCCTCCAAGGGCCTCCAAAGACCATACAAGACCTGTGTCATAGCTCTGAAAGAAAAAGTACAAGTTTCTGGAAGAGACTTAAATTTGTCTGAAATTTACTACAGTCATTTGTATTTTAAATGTAAGGACTAGCCAATGCTCAGATAGACAGTTTCCCTGTGAAACTGTCAACTGAAACTCTGGAAGTAGACAAAGGCATGCCCCAGCCAGAGGGCTACCTGGTCTAGCAGGTGCAGCCGCCTCACATAGGTCACCTCGGTGTGCAGAAGTTCCTGGGCAATGTGAAGCAGCTCTTGCGGCTTAGGGCACTGGGGAGAGAAAAGCCACAGGTCACCTGGGGAAAATGAGCCTTGGTGAGGCAGATCTGACAAGAGCTATCTGCTGTACATTAGGGAAAACTAGGGGTGCTGTGGGGCTAGAGGAGACTGCTAGAGTTGGAATGTGGGGCTCAGTTCTTGCAGATGGAATTTCCAGGGAAGTTTCTGGGGAAGGCACAATAGTTCCCACCAATCCCCCAAATCTTTTGCAGTCTAGAAACAACTCTACTTTCCTGGAGCTTTGAAGACAGAGCAGCTGCAGCAGCCACATCAAATACATTGTGTAGTGAGCCAGCAAGATGGCAATCTAGAAAGCTACAGGTCCTTCTTCCTTCATAAAGACATATATTTAACAGCAATATATGGACTAGAATACCTCTGTGAAAACTCTGGAGACCAGATGAGAAGCTACAGCTCCTAAGCCATCCTAAACCAAGAAGAGATTCTCATAAATGCAGTAGGAAACTGGCAGTATTTAGCATGCCCTTTCATGTCCCTTCCCACACAGCACAGCATGGCACAAGTGAAAGGAAACCCCCTTTATGGGGGCTCCTCCCTCAGGATGAAAATAAAAGAATTAAGTATGTATCCAATGTTCTGACCTATTTGAGGGCTGCTTGAGGGATTGGTTTCTCTCTTTTATGACTTGGAGAACTGACAAGACCAGCGCCAGGATTTGAAAACAAAGGCAAACAGCCCATCAGAACTGATATTCTTCAGGCAGGTGTCAGGGGAGTGAGAGATCAGAAAAGGATTAAAAAGATCCCAGGATTTTAGTCAGACTGATGGTGCTTTTGGCTTGTACAAAGACAGCAAGCAAAGTATGGAGAGGTGATTGTTTTCCAAATGCCCAAATTACAGCCAAAAATTACCAAAAAAGAGAGGAAAATGACTCAATCAGAGGAACAAAATAAAATTTCAGAAACCAACCCTAAAGAAACACAGATCTATTGTCTGCTTGACCAAAAAGAAAAAAAAAACAAAACCCTGTCATATAGATACTCAGTAAGCTAAAAGAAAACAGATAAACAACTGAACAAAATCACAAAAATGACGCTTGAGCAAAGTAAGAATATCAACACATGGGAACTATAAAAAAGTTCCAATTAAAAATCACAGAGATGAAAAATAAAACAAATAAACTTTTTTTAAAAACCTCATTAGAGGAGTTTAATACAAGATTTCGTCAGCCAGAAGAGTCAGCAAACTTGAAGATAGGTCATTTGAAATCATCAAGTAAGAGGAACAAAAAACAAAACAAACAAAAGAATGAATAAAAACAAAAAGTACCTAAGGAACTTATGGGGCACTAATAAGAAAACTAATACCTTATGGGAGTCCTAGGAGGAAAAGAGAACTTATTTGAGGAAATAATGGTTGAAAAATTCCCAAATCTGAGTTAAAAAAATGGACATACAAATTCAAGATGTTCCAGGAATTTCAACCAAAATAAATCTAAAAACAAACAAACAAACTTCCAGTCAAGATGGTGGCATAGGCAGACAGAGCTTGCCTCCATCCACAACCACATCAAAATTACAACTAAAATACAGTATAACCATCACACAGAACCATCAGAAATTGAGTTGAATGGAAGTAGATTTCTGTACTCGTTTCAAAACTGGATGGGACACACACACAGCATATCAGTAAGAAAACAGAGGACTTGTACAACACTAAAACCACAGGGACCCAACAGACATACACAGAACACAGCGGAACACACATTCTGCTCAAGTGCACATGACATGTTTTTCAGGAAAGAGCACATGTTAGGCCCCAGAACAGATATTAACAAATTCAAGAAGATTGAAATCATATAAAGTACCTTTGCTAATCCAAATAGAATAAAACTAAATTCATACAACAAGGAAAACTGGAAAAATCTATAGCTGTGTGAAAATAAGACAACATACATTTAAGAGTCAAAGAAGTCATAAAGGAAACTAGAAAATATATTGAGAAAAATGAAATTGAAAACACAATATACCAAATGATGGAATGCAGCATAAGCAGTGCTGAGATGAATATATATATAGCTGTAAATGCATACATGGACAAAGGATAAAGATCTTGAATCAGCAACCTAACTTGACACCGCAAGAAACTGGGAGAAAAAAAAACTCAACCTAAAGCAACCAAAAGGAAGGAAACAACAGAGATTAGAGCCAAGATAAATGAAACAGAGAATAGAAGAACAATAGAAAAATCAGCAACATTAAGAGTTGTTTTTTGAAAGATAAAATCAACAAAATTAATAAACCCTGAGTTCAACAAGGAAAAAAACAGAAGACTCAAATAACTAATATCAAAAATGAAAGAAAAATATGACAATTGATGCCACAGAAATAGAAAGTAGTATAAGAGAATATTATGATGGCCGTTCTCACCAGTGTAAAGTGGTATCTCATTGTGGTTTTAATTTGCATCTCTCTGATGGCTAGTAATGCAGAGCATCCTTTCATAAATCTCTGAGCCCTCTATATGTCCTCCTTGGAGAAGTGTCTGTTCAAGTCCTTTGCCCATTTTTTTCCGACCTGGGCAGGTTCATCCCTCCTTAGGCAACCTGGTGGCCCCCCGCTCCCAGGAGGTCACCATATTGATGCCAAACTTAGTGCAGACACCCGATTGGCATAGCACACTACAGCCCAGAACTCCTGGGCTCAAGCGATCCTCCTGCCTCAGCCTCCCAAGTAGCTGGGACTACAGGCGCACGCCACTGCATCCAGCTTTGCCCATTTTTTAATTAGGTTGTTTATCTTCCTGGAGTGGAATTATGTGAGTTTTTTATATATTTTGGTGACCAAAACAAATCAACAAAGAACAAGTGTTGGAAAGGTTGTGGAGAAAAGGGAACCCTAGTACACTGTTGGTGGGAATGCAGACTGGTGAAGCCACTGTGGAAAACAGTATGGAATTTTCTCAGAAAACTAAAAATGGAAATGCCTTTTGACTTAGCAATACCTTAAGAATTCGGAAACACCAATTCAAAAGAACCTGTGCACCCCAATTTACAGCACAATTTATAATAGTCAAGTGCTAAAAGCAACCTAAGTGCCCATCAGTAAATGACTGGATGAAAAAGTTGGTAATTTACACAAAGGGATATACAACCAGCAAGAAAGAAGGAGCTCCTACCCTTCATGACAGCATAGATGAAACTGGAAAGCATTATGCTAAGTGAAATAAGCCAAAGATTGAAATGGAAATACCATATGATATCGCTTATAAGTGGAACCTACTCAACAAAGCAAACAAGCAAGCAAAGTAGAACGAGAGACATTGAAATAAAGAACAAATTGACAGTAACCAGAGAGGAGGGGGAGAGGGATGATAGGGGAAAGGACATCAAAGAACATGTATAAAGGACACATGGACAAGATCAAAGGGGGTAGGTTTGAGAGTGAGAGGTGGGGATGGGTGGGGTGGGGGGTATGGGGGGGTAAAAATGGAGGCATCTGTACTTGAACAACAATAATTTTTTAAAAGATAATATTTTGAACAATTGGATACCATAGAATAAATGGACAAATTTCTGAAACATGCAACCTACCAAGACTGAATAAAAAAGAAACAGAAAATTTGAATGGACTTATAATAAGAAAGGAGATTGAATAAGCAATTAAAAATTTCCCAACAGAAAAAAACCCAGGGGATTTCATGAGAAAATTAATAATACTAGAGAATATTTTTCTCAGATGCTTCCAAAAAATTGAAGAGGATAGACTATTACCAAGATTACTTTATGAGTCCAGCACTACCCTGACACCAAAGCCAAAGAAGGATACAACAAGAAAAGAAAACTACAGGACAGACTTTCAGCCAAGATGAAAGCATAGGTAGATACACTTTGCCTCCTCGCACAACTAAAAGAGGATAACAACAACTATAAAAACAAAAATAACCAGAACTTCCAGAAAATCAAATTGTATGGAGGTCCAACAACCAAGGAGTTAAAGGAGAAACATTCATCCAAATGGGTAGGAGGGGCAGACACAGGCGGCTGGGGTGGAGAGGAATAACTGCAAGGCAGTGACTATCCAGTCACTGGGTGAGCAAGGCAGTGGCTGGTGGAGTAGGCAGTTGCACATTTGCCTCTGGATAAACCAGGAGGAACAACTGGGGAGTGAAACAGACCATGCAACCCAGGGTTCCAGCATGGGAAATAAAACCTCAAAACTTCTGACTGAAAAAACATGTGGGGGTTGAGGCAGCAGGAGAAACTTCCAGCCCCACAGCAGAGTTCGTTGGAGGGACTCATAGGGTCCTAGAACATACACAAACACCACCTGGGAATCAGCACCAGAAGGCCCAATTTGCTTGTGGGTAGCAAAGAAAGTGACTGAAAGAGAGGAGAGACCTGAGCAAGTGGCATTGTTCTCTCTCAGACCCCTTCCCCATATACACTGGCACATTGCAGGGATGTGGGTGGCCCTGCCCTGGCCAATACCTAAGGCTCCACCCCTTACTATATAATAGGCATGCTGAGACCAAAAAAAAAAAAAAACACAAAAACATGGCCCTAATGAAAGAACAGATCAAAGATACAGGGAAAAAAATGTACAACTAAGCAATGAAGAGATAGCTTACCTATCAGATGCAGAGTTCAAAACCCTGGGAAGCAGGATGCTTACACAAATGGTTGAGTATGGTTGAAAAATAGAGGTAAAAGTGAAGGTTATGAAAAGTGAAATAAAGAAAAATTTACAGGAAACCAACAGTAAAGGAATGGAAACTAGGACTCATATCAAGGATTTGGAGCAAAAGGAAGAAATAAACATTCAACCAAAACAGAATGAACAAACAAGAATTCGAAATAATGAGGAGAGTCTTAGGAACCTCTGGGACAACTTTAAACATTCCAACATCTGAATCGTAGGGGTGAGAAAAGGAGAAGAGGAAGAGCAAGAAACTGAAAATTTATTTGAACAAACAATGAAGAAGAACTTCCCTAATCTGGCAAAAGAAAGAGACTTCCAGGAATTCCAGGAAGCTCAGAGTCCCAAAGAAGTTGGACTCAAGGAAGCACAAATCAAGGCACATCATCATTCAGTTACCCAAGATCAAAGATGAGGAGAGACTCTTAAAAGCAGCAAGAGAAAAGGAGATAGTTACCTACAAAGGAGCTACCATAAGACTATTAGCTGGTTTATCAAAAGAAACCTAACAGGAAAGAAGGGGCTGGAAAGAAGTATTCAAAGTCATGACAGGCAAGGACCTACAACCTAGATGACTCTAACCAGCAAAGCTATCAGTTAGAATGGAAAAGCCGATAAAGTGCTTCCCAGATGAGGTCAAGTTAAAGGAGTTCATCATCACCAAGCCCTTATTTTATGAAACGTTAAGGGGACTTATCTAAGAAAAAGAAGATCAAAACTACAAACAGTAAAATTACAAACACAACTATCAACAACTGAACCTAAAAAAAATACAAAATCAAAAATGAAGTAAGCAAACAACTGCAATAGGAACAGATTCATAGAAACAGAGATCACATAGAAGGTTATCACTAGGGAGGGGAAGATAGAAGAATGGGGGAAAAGCTATAGGGAATAAGAAGCATAAATGGTAGGTATAAAATAGGGGAAGGTTAAGAATAGTATGGGAAATGGAGAAGCCAAAGAACTTACATGTATGACTGATGGACATGAACTAAGGTGGGAGAATGCTGGTGGGAGGGGAATGAAGGGCAGAGGGGAATAAAGGGGTAAAAAAATGGGACAACTTTAAATAGACTAATTAACAACACATATTTTTTTAAAAGAAAACTACCCTGATGGGGTAGGAAAATATCCCTGATGCAAAAGTCCTCAACAAAATATCAGCAAATTGAATTCAGTAGCATATTAAAAGGATCATACAAAGGGGAACCCCCCAAAAAACCAAATTGGAGTTGCCTTCTGGAGGGTGGGCCCCTTGTAGTGTAGGCTTTTCCCCCCTTGGTGAGTGTTCTAGAAACTCATCCGTATCAGTGTATCAGCTGGCATTGTCATGAGAGGCTGCATTTGGCTTTAGTGATTTTTTTGTAGACTTTTTTGTGCCCATTTAATGATGGGTAATTTGTTAGTATGCCTGTCCACACCATGCTGAGTGCTCAACAGATTTTTTTTTAAAAATTGCATGACCTATGTCCCCACCATCCCTATTCACCTAATCTCACCCCAAGCAACTTTTTTGTTGTTGTTGTTTCTCCAGATGAAAAACGTCCTCAAAGGGAAACATTTTTCCTATGTGGAAGAGGTGAAACGAAAAACAGCAGAAGCACTAAAAGTCGTCAAAATTGACTAGTTTAAAAATGATTCTGAGCATTTAAAAAGTCTTTATAGTGTATCGTGTCAAATAAAGAGTACTTTGAAAGTGACTGAAGTTTAAACATGTAAAATTGTGTATCGTGTCAAATAAAGAGTACTTTGAAGGTGACTGAAGTTTAAACATTAAAAATTGTGACTAAATCACAATTTTTCATAAATAAATTTCTAGTTTTGGGGGTCCCTTCTCATATACCATGACCAAGTGCAAATTATTTCTGGAATAGAAGAATTGTTCAATAGATGAGCATCAATCATATTATATACCACATTAACAGAATGAGGGGAAAATGCATGAGTATTTGAAATGACACACCAAAAGTATTTGATAATATTTAACATCCATTTGTGATAAGAACAGTCAACAAATTAGTATTAGAAGAAGAATATGAACTTCACATAATAAAGGCCAATTTGACATATGTGTACACCTGCATCATCTCCCCATGTCAGCATCCCTTTATTCTACATGGATAGGGAACATGAGGCAAAGGGTCCCTGGGCTCCTGGTTCAGAGCCTCACCCTGAGGGTGGGACCAGTGTCTGATAAAAGGCATTCTAACCACAATCCCATTACAGAAAACATAGACCCATTCCCACCAGTTGCAATGTAATATGATATTTTCATGTCACAAATACAGAGGTTTGAGCCTTCCCCAGCAAGCCTTAGGCCTCAGGAGCCCCACAGATTCTGTGGAGGCAGGATGGGGCCAGGCCTTGGGTCTGCACTTGCCCCCAGTATGTGGGATACTGGGGCTGTCAGCTTCCCTGGAATGCACCTTGAGAGTCACAGGTAGTAGTCAATACATCATTTATTTTTATTTTATGATGTTTTGACATCTTGGGGCATTGCTTACCCCAGAGGAATTATTCCTCCCAGGGATAGCTGATTCCTAGGAATATAAAAGACTAGCCTAGATGCACATCTTTCCTATGCAAACCAATCCATTCCTAACCCACACCCCAACCATCTCCTTCATATTTGCTATTCCCACTATCCCCCTACCCTAATCACCAAGGGACAGTTCTGTGCACAGAGCCCACTGGACTTAATCAAATTGGTGTCCTGAATGTAGTAGCTGCCTCACCTGTTCCTTTCCAAAGAAACTACAATAAAGGCTCTTGCCATCAATTCCCCTGACTGCCTCCTGACCAATCCTTATGCTTCCCCACAGGACCTCTGTGGTGTGGTGTGAGTAACAAACTATTTTTCAGTGGTTGTCATCTCTTGATCTATTGGCCTCACCATACTCAAATAATGATTAAAACATGACCCAGTTCATCTGCCAGAAATCTGGCTTTCATGTGTGTAGGCCCACAGCTGCCCTTTGCCTTCCCAGGCCTATCTCCTAGTGCTGCCACAAGAGCCAGCACCATAGTCATCAAGAGCCAGGAGGCCTAACCCCTCAAACACCACCTCACTTCTCTTTGGACACATTCACTTACAGCTTATTCATGCCATTTTCCCCATCCACAGGTGGTCTCCCCTAGGCAGGGGATACCTAATTTATTTCTATGTCCCCAAAAGTACCAGTATAGAGCACAGAGACCAAGATGCTAAAGGGACACCAAGGAGCTTTCTCTCAAAGCCAACCCATCACACTGTGGACACAGCTGCTCCCCAGGCCACCTACTCTGGGCTCCATACACGTGCACAGACTCCCTTTCCACTTCTGCCCCACCCTGTGGACTACTCTGGGGTTTCCCCCTTCACAAAACAGGTGACACTCATGCTGCCTTCCTCATGGGGGTTCTGCAAGGTGGCCAGCAAGCAGGGGCAAAGAGTGCTAGTGGTACGACTGTTCATACTAAGACTGATGGTCAGGTTATCCTGGGACAGGGTTCCTGTGCCACTGTGTATCTGTGGAAACCAGGCTCAAGAGTGAGGTTTTCATCCAAAGTGTCAGGGGAGGTTGCCTGTGTGGTACTTCCCCAAGACCTGCACACTGAGCCATTGAAGGGGACTCTCTGAACATGGTATCTGAGCAAGCACCCAACTACTAGCACCAAGTGTGGTTGATGCCACAAGCAAACCTCACACCCCCTTAGAATAACCCTACCACCCTGGTCAGGAGGGCAACCTACCTTGGCTGTGTCCGCATGGGCCCTTGGGGGGCTGTTCTTTGGCTTAGGCTCCTCGCTGCTGTCCCTGTCCACATCACTGTTGGCCTCCTTCTGGGGAGTCTTGCTGTCTGGTGCCATCACTGGGCACAGCCCCAGGATGGTAGAGCCCAGGCCTGCCTCATTGCCCTTATCACAGGGAAAGAGCTCACTGGCAATGCTGCAGGATGGGCTGTCAAACCCGCTGTCCCTGTTAGGGATCTTAGTGCTGTCTGGGAGGCTATTCCCCACAGCAGCCTGGCCACCAGGGTTCCTAGTGGCATGGTCCTCATGGTGGACTCCAGGCCCAATGGGAAGCACTTGGAGCTTCCCTGGGTCTGTGCTGGGCAGCTCCAGGGAGGAGCAGCCAGGCCCAGAGTCTGGCCTTCCTAGGGTGGCAACAGGGGCTGGAGCTGTTGATGCCCCCTCTCCTGATTCCATCCTCAAAGCTGTCTCCGAGCTCTATGGAGGGCCTGGCCAGGTGTAGGGCAAGATGGGGAGAGGTGAGCTTCCTGTAAGAGAGAAATGAGCACAGTCAATACCAGCAGGGCTGTGGACCACTTCTGGTGCAGCCCCCTGAAAGCAGCATCCAGATGTGTCTCCTGGAGAAAGTCAATAGGAGGGAAATGAGCTGGGCCTCGTTGAACTGAATAGCTGGCCAGCTTCAGCTGGCTCTATCTAAACAGGCTTTTGGGCAATGGCAAATAGAAAGCATTATATTTTGAAAATAAAATTTTACATAAAAAAGAAGAAAAGAGAGAGAAGAAGGGAGGAAGGGAGAGAGTAAGGAAGGAAGGGAGGAAGGAAGGAATCCTTTAGTATGAAGCTATCTGCTGCTCAATGAATTCAAAATATATGCACAAAGTAATAGCAACAACCATTTTGAGTATAGGGTATCAGGTCTACAATGTGCATTGCCACAGTGCTTTTTATGCTATGATGTGGCTCTGAGGTGAGGCAGGATCTCTGTCAAGATCCTGATTCACCACCACTACCAGGCACTTCCCGGAGACACCAGCACCTTCACATCCCAATGGTACACCTTGCCTGAAAGCCCTCACTCAGGAGAGGCAAGTTCAAGCATCATTCTAGGTGCACAGAGAATGTGTGCAAGTTCTGCCAAAGAGGGTCAAGTGTGAGACTCCACAAAAGTGAGACAGCCCTGGCTGGTGTGGCTCAGTGGACTGAGTGCTGGCCTGAGAACCAATAAATTACTAATTCAGTTCCCAGCCGGGGCACATGCCTAGGTTGTGGGCCAGGTCCCTGGTGGGGGGGCGTGTGAAATGCAACTACACATTGACGTTTCTCTCCTCTCCCTCCCTTCCCTTCTCTCTGGAAATAAACAAATAAAGTCTTTAAAAAAAAAGAATGAGATAGGCAGTTCATGAAATCTTCCTTTTAAACCTTCAGTGGTGTTGCAGAGGAGGACAGGAACCAGGAGCAACAATCCTTATCCCTGAGGGTCAGGCCACTTACCAAATGCCCAGAGACTTCAGGGGCAGTGCTGAGGATGGTGAGTGGATGCCTGCTCCCTGCTGGCCAAGTTCCGAGGGTCTAACCTTGCTGCTCAGGGCTGGGACAATTCACTGAAAGTCTTTTTCTTGCCCAGCAGGTTTGAAGTAGAGCAGTTCAGGAGGTTCTAAAGGAACATGAAAGGAAAATGAAAACCACCTCCACTGATGCTTGGAGTGGCCAGGGTGACAAGCCCAGTTCTAAATGGAGAGGATGGAAAGGCAGGCAGCTCCTTGTTATCACCCTACTTGGTGGACCACAGGCAGGTCACAGAGGCCCACAGGTAGTCAGAGCATGCTGCTTCTCTGGCTCTGAGCACCTGAGATAGTGACCCCTGTTGTAAGGCAGCTTCTAGGGCCCAGCTTGACACTCTCGGGTTAGAACTAAGTCTGTCCCTGGCCACATGAGGTCCACACCTGGGAGGCAGGGTGCCCTTAAGTGTGCAGAGCCCACCCAATGTGGAGAGCTGGTGGACACCACCACGTACCTTCCAGCCCATACCCTGAACACCTCGCTGACACACTCTCACTTGGCTGTGCTGCCAGGAGCTTCTTCAAACACTCTGCTCCTCACTCATTAAACAGTAAAGAGCCCTCAGTGAAGATGCAGGTCCCACACACACAACCAGGCAGGTGTCCCATAGTGTGCCCTTTGGCTGCTCACATGGCACAAATGTCTCTTGGCAGAGCTCAATGGGAAGTAAAGCATCAGCCCCAGTGGTTCAGCACCAACTCCAACCCTGCAACAACCCCCCTGCCTTCACATTCTCTTGTGGCCTCACTACTTCTGAGCAGACATTAAGTGACACCAAAACCAGTGGAGGGTGCACGTTTATCATCGGCCACTGACACATTCTTAACAAGCTAATCTAGGAGAAATATTAAGAGTTATAAACATAAAATATATGCTTTGCTGCATTCTTCTCATAGCACAAGAGGTAACCTCAAATTTCCAGAAACCAGACATGACACAACAGTAAAAATATGCCAGATGGAATCCAGGCCTGGCACTCAGCCACAGGATGTGCAGCTGCTGCCAGCTGGCACCAGGTGGAACCTGGCCCAATTCCACCACAGGGTCTCCTGCTTCCAGTCAAGATATAGTGACAGAAACAGCCCTTAACTTCTTGTCTGAAATCAGAAAAACCTGGATAAAACATGTGAAACAATGGTTGGACAGACACCCTACACCAGGCAGTGAAGCTCCATGCTCCTGAGATGCAGTAACTGGTACAGTGTAGCCCATGTCACCCCAGCTGCCTAGAGAAGGGGACCCCAGGTAGATGCCTGAGTGCAGAGATGGAGCTGGGAGTCTAGAAAGACCAGATGGCTGGGGGCCACAGGGTGGAGCACTGGAGAGGAGAGAGCAGCACAGAGAGAGGGAAAGTGAAGAGAGCCCTTGAGGAAGGCTCAGCACAGATGTGCGGAAACCATGAGGCTGGAGAAAGAATCTCCTGAGAAGGTGAAGGGAACAGTACCTGGCATTCAGCACCTGACTGAAAACCCCAAGATACAGGGCATTAGACAACTTGGAAGGGTCTTGTGTCAGTGTGGGGGACAGTTAACTCCACAGTGAGCTCTACTCAGGTCCTACCTAACAAATATTGATGAATCTTAACAGGAAGCCACTCTGTCTACAAGCAACTTAACTGCATCCCTGAACAGCACTCAAGAAAATTATAGGAACACAAACATAGCCAACACCCAGCAAGGTGAGATTCACAGTGTCTAGTCCCAATCCCAAAATTATGAGGCACACAGAGGACCGGAGTACACAACCCACAATGAATAGGAATAGTCAGTGAAGGAAAACTAACCCACAGTGGGTCCCAAGGTGAGAAATAGCAGACAAGATCATTAAGGCAGCTGAGGTGCCTGCATTCCATCATGTTCAACAAGTAAGCAGAGATGTGAAGGATACACAAGATGCACATTAAACTTCTGGAGGTGAACTCACAGATTGTGAGATTAAGATCGACTAGAAGGGTTCTTGATGGCAGATTAAACATTGTAGAAGAAAAAGTAGTGAATTTGAAGAGATAATATGTACTATCCAAAATGGAGAGAGAGGGAGGGAAGGAGGAAAGGAGAGAGAAGGAAAGTTAGCGAGATGTGGGGAAAACTTCAAGCAGCATAATATATGTGTGATAAGATTCTCCATATGTAATTAAAGTCTCAGAAAAGGAAAGAGCAGGAAGAATGTTTGAGGAAATGATAACCAAAGTTTCCCCCTATATGATGGAAACTATAAATCCACAGGCCTAAGAAACTCAGTAAACACCAAGCACAAAAAATATTTACATTTAAATATTTTTACACAGAGAAAACTCTAGGATTAGGTGGCTTCACTGGTGAATTCAATCAAGCATTTAAGGAAGAAATGGTGTCAGTTCTACATAAATCTTTTTCAGAACATTCAGGAAAGAAAGGATATTTCCCCACAACATGGATCAATCTAGAAATAACTGCTGAGTGAAAGGAGACAGACAAAAGAGAAAGTACATACTTGCTTTTCAATTTACATAGAATTTTAGAAAATGTACAGTAATCTGTGTTGTCAGACTGCAGACTGAGGGTTGCCTGGAAGGGGTGGTGGGTAAGGTGAGATGTGGGGGTTACAACAGAGCTTTTAAAGGGTAACAGACTGTGGTGATGGTTTCAAGGGTTTATATATATGTCAAAACATTGCATCATACACTTTAAACATGCAGTTCATTGTGTGTCAGTTGTAACTCATAGGTGAAGCCTCTGAGTTGTGCAAAGTAGACAAGTTGCTGACATTCCCAAGTGCCATTTTTCTTATCACAGAAGGGACCATGAATCATGCAGAAGATGGTGGTAAGGCAGGCATGGTGGTCTCATCCAAAGGAGAGGTGCACATCCTTCCAGTGGAGCCATGATCGTCTCATCTTCCAAGGACTTTTATGCAAAGGCAGCCAAACAGCCCTTGGGCAGACAAAAGAGCCCAGGGGTCAGGGAGAGGGCCTGGTGGGGAACAACCAAAACCACAACCAATCTGATTCAGGAAGCTGAGGTATGCAACCCATGGCCTCACTCAGCTAAGGATTGGCCTCCCGGAAGCCTTACCCAGGCCAAAGGAAGCACCAGAGCTGGTCAGGCCAGTTTCAGCCTCCCCTCCACACTGCCCAGGGGAGCCAGGGGGCTTTGGAGGAAGGGAGATACACATGCACATATGCCACACATACATACATACCTCCACAACACACATATATGCATGCATAGACACAGTTACACACACCCTGTGTCAGGAGCACTGTGTCAAGGACATGAGGATGATCCTGGCCACACATTGGTCTGGAGGTAAACAGCCCCCAGGACCTGGGCCCAGCAGACATCCTGTTCTGAACCTCAGGACTTGGTTCTGGGCTCATTCTGACACTCTCAAGGCAAGGAACATGTCACCACATAGGTAACAAAGAGCTGTTGTCAATTCTACCAGATCACTCAGCTCTCCCTTTAGAAACCCTCAGCTGCCTGAGCTGAGTGAGGCTGTCAACTGCCTACTCCAGGGAGTCCAGCCCAGATAAGTTACACACAGGTAAGCCAACCCGAGGTGAGCTGTGTATGCTGCAGAACTCAGCCAGGGCTGCTGTAGTAGACCGCTCTGCCTGATTTTAGGAATTGTATCCCTACCCCTTGTGGCTAAGGGCGAAAGATGTGACCTTTGGAATGCCAGCCGCAGGAGACAAAGCCTGTCTCTGGTAGCAAATGCTGCCTCAGTTCCTCTCCCTACCCCCATAGCTTGGTTGGAAGTCAATGACGGGTAAGACCCCCCACAACGGGGGGCAACCTAAGCCAGACTCGATCACCTGGGAGGCCTTCATGGAAGGACTCAGGGGGCTGCAACAGAGAGCAATGGACTCTCGCCCCCCTGCTTTGTCAAAGCCCGAGTCTCCATGTCTCCTGGGAGAAGCACTTCCTGGCTCTAATCCCCTTAAGCCTGAATACCTGATGGGGAGGGGTACAGCTCCTTGCCTGGCCAGAGTGTGTCCTGGGGGAAAATCTGGCACCACAAAGACTTGCTGATAAACCTGCGAAATTTGCTCTGCTAAGAGTGCTTTCATTCATATAATAAGCGTTCAAGAGGAAATGAGTATGTCTCCCAAAGTTTCTGCAACTCTCTTCCTAACACTCAGACTGAAACCCTCAGACCTCTTTGTAATGTTATCTACTGTTTGATCCTTGCCGCCCTGTATTCCTGTGTATTACAACCCAATAAAAGGCTATGGAAAAAGTCATTCAGGGCCTTTTTCTCCTCGGAGAAACTGGCCACAGCACACGCCTCCATCCCCAAACAGATCTCATCGCTTCTCGGCCATATTTATTCACTCACGCGTGTCCGTGGCACTGGGGGGATCTCTCGAAAGAGGTAGCATCAACAGGCTGCCATCACTCAGCATCTGGTTTCAACACTGGGACTGGGGAGGTATGAGGACTGCACAAGTATAGAGAAATTAAATTCATCCCACTCTCCAAGGGCTATGTGGATGCTTGCTGGAATTGGAATGAGAACAGGATGTCTGCTGGGCCCAGGTCCTGGGGGCTGTTTACCTCCAGACCGATGTGTGGCCAGGATCATCCTCATGTCCTTGACACAGTGCTCCTGACACATGGTGTGTGTAACTGTGTCTATGCATGCATATATGTGTGTGGACCATTTAAGTGGCTTCCTGCATAGCAGCAGGTGGAAGGGTAACATGAATGCTGTGGTCTCTCCCATATATAGGAGACCATTCTGCATAGCATGGGCAGAGTTCCCTGTCAGAGGACCCACACCCATGAATAGGTTCTCTCACACCTTCACTATACCTAGACTCCTATGAGACTTGCTTTCACTAAAACTCCCTCACCCTGAATTGAGGCAGAAAACATTTACTGCACACTAACTTCCTAAAATCCATGCTAAGCCTTCCATGGATGAGTGTAACTGGTTGGACCAATTTTCTCTTTTCATTTGCAAATATCCTTCTTCTGTGATGTGATTAGTGGCAGTGGCTCCTTTGTTTTCTGTAAAAGGTAACCCCTTAAAGCGAACCTGTGCATAGTAAATGAGGATCATCATGTAATGTGCTGAGAAACCCAATAAAGGCTGGTCGAGGCAAAGGTC